CAACACATGGCAACTCACCCTGTTCTGTTTAAATATCTGTTGAATTGCTACTGTATTTTCATGAGAAAGTATTTAAGAATGGACAAAGATCAAGCCAGATCAAAGTCTGAGATGTTACTGTGCTGGCAGAGCTTGGTGTTATGTGGTGTTATTCAGTATGACAACAGTGGCTGAGAGTGTTGACTCACAGCAATAAGGGCCTGGGAGACAGGAGTGGTCTGGAACATGTAAGAAACAGAGGATGTGGCAAGGCAAGGCATGGGCATTAATCGTGGTATGTGAAATCACTCAGTAATGTGCACTACACAGTTTTGCAACATTTTGTTCTTGACAAAAAATCCTATGTCCTTTTGGACATTGCATTTTGTCAGGACCTTCACTTTTCCTGCATCATCTCACAGAAAGGTAAATGCAGCCATTTTGTGAATCTGCACACATGTATGCAATATCCTCCTGCCAACTCTCCTGGCCTTTTGGCTGCCAGACCTCTGGGCCTGCTTAGAAAGAGTGCAAGTGTCTGGCCTTGAGAGATGCTGCTGGGGGAAGCTGTGCTGTGAGGCCCCAGCAGGGCTCCCTGATTTGCTTGGCAGTAGCTTTTAAGCTAAGGCTCTCATCCTCGGTGCTCTCCCTGCCGATCTGGACCCTTATCCCAACTCAGTGACAGCCCTGGATCTGCCTCACCACTGAAGATGTGTCTAACATTGTGGCCAACCCTGTTTGCTGTCACAGGACTAGTCCTGCTCACCCTGCTCAAGTGCCATGGGAAGATGCCCTCGTCAGGGCAGCCCTGCCCTGCCTGCTTTGCTCTCACCCTCCACTCTCTGGTGTACAAACATCCATACACTTACCTATCGACAAAGAGTTACATTTTGGAGCTGTTCTTCAGTTCACTTACTACCAATTTGATTTGCCACTCAGGCTACCAGTGACAAGTTGCTGTGGGACACTGATTTACCTGTGCTTACATCCTATGAACTGGGAACCTTCATTTTTAGATATTATGGGAGATAACATGAAGGAAAAAAAAAAAAACCCAAATGGTCTTTCTCCTGTTTAAAATGAAACTGCAGTGTTTTTTTTGACTAGCAAGCAAACTGGGAAAATATCTGCTCAAGCAGCTGAGACTGCACCCAATAAATTTGTGCTCTGAAGGTCTTAAACAATTCAATTCCAATAAGCAGAATAATTCTGTTTCAAGACAACAGAGAGAATTGCTTGTCTATATTAAAACTGCTGAACTTAAGCAACTTGAGAAACAGAATTAATTTAAAAAAACCCCATACCTAAACAGAACAACACAAAATTACACTGGAGGTAGATAGCCAGGTTTCCAGATCAGATCCAGGTTTAAGGTTTTTTGCCATTTATACTTTGCCACCATTAAAATCTGTTAAAAAATAGACAGAAATAATGGAAGGTAGGTATACTAGATAAGAAAAGCTGCTCTAAAGAAGCCATGCTGCATGTTTAGAAGCCAGGAAGCCTTGAAGGGCTGGGGTAAGGTAACCAAAGGTACTGAATTCAAGAGCTACATACCCATTGTGGTAGGCTGGACTTATTTCAGCCTGCCAAGGTACTGCCGAGTTACACAAGTGTGACTTGCCATTGATTATTCTGATTTCTTTGCATTACAAGGATCACACTAGGGATGTCTTGCAGCACCAGGCATGTGTGGTCTGTGCTGTTGATACTCATAACGTTACAGGGGAAAAATTGACTTTGCTGAGCAGCAAAAGGTTGCTGCAGAAGCACAGGCCACAGTGCAGGCCTGCAGATGACTACAGCTGCAGCCATGAGAGGCAGAATCACCCTATGCCCTTGGCTGAAGAAGCATGGATAGCAGAGGAGACAGAGCACTGCAGCAGTGTATGTTGCCACAATAAAATATGCACAATATTCTGACTATGACAGTCTTCCAGAAGTATCTTACTCCTTGTGGGTTAATGGGTAAATAGAGCCTGACCTAGGTGTCAGTGTCAGGACCACCGGGATCTACTCACAGGATTATCTGTAAACTACATTTGCCAGCTAAACAGTCAAGTCAGGGTTGGCTAAGCTGCAAACATTGCAAGCTTATGTAACGCAGTACTTTTCATGTCTTTACTAAGGTTAGCTGCAGGGAGCTTACAGTCCTGTTAAAGTAAGCCCTCTGCCTTGGTGTTCCCTAATTCGTAACAGCTTGCACAATTATTTGGAGAACAAAATAATTAACACCAACATCTGTTTCCACGTGACTGATTCCCTCCTTGATTTCATGCATAGATGAAAATGTTGACTGAGGACCAAGATATGACGAAATTCCTGGTAGAATGCGAAAAAGCAGATTTGGTTTATTTTTTAATATTTCAAGGTAAAAGGCACATGGAAGATTTAAAAAAAAGACCTAACAAGACATTTGAGGCTGCCTTTCTGCATAATGAAAACACTGCAGATTTTTTTTTTCTTTTTAAGATATAATTACTTTCTTGTAACTGTTTGGATTAAATTCCTATCTGCTATAGCTAAAAACATGTACATATGAATACTGCTGAATCTGAAGGTGTAGCTGGGTTTTTAGTGATTTATTCTTTTGTTTTCTTTCTCCCCCTGAAAATAGATCTAAATACCAGTTTTTCTCCTCCTCCTTGCTTTCTTCTAGGCTTTATGTTTCCCTCTGAAAGAATAACATCTTCTTTAAATTGCATCATTAGGCACAGAACACTAGAAAAGAAAATTCTGACCAGAAGTGTGTTTTATTTTTTTTTCATTGACATTGCACGATCTTAAGGGTAAGGGAGAGGCTTAGTCTGTAGTGTCCATGCTTCTGGATTTGGTCATATATTTGTGTTTTGGAGCCTTCAGCCACATCCTGGAAGTTGCAGCAGGCAGGAGTGTACAGCTGGGTGGGTCTGCCCACATGGGAAAAATGTATGAATCCCAACTTGTACTAGTTCAAAGAAGAGACTTCACACTGACACCACTGCTGCCTGACAGGCCATGGCCTCCTTTTGGGGCAGAGCACTCTTCCTGTTGTTACCGTACTGAAATCAAACAAAACATCAGCTATTCAAGCTCTGAGCTCTTGAGTGGGACCAGTTCATCACAGATTTAGAAAGCACTGTTCCCAGCAGAGACAGGGAAGGGATCTTACCCCTGTACTCGGCGTGGGTTCAGTTTTGGTCCCCTCACCCCAAAAAGGCCATTGAATGACTCGAGCGTGGCCAGAGAAGGGCAACGGAGCTGGGGCAGGGTCTGGAGCACAGGTCTGCTGGGGAGCGGCTGAGGGAACTGGGGGGGTTCAGCCTGGAG